CCTTGTGATGGTGCGAAACATTTCATTTATTTCTGCTCGTTTCAAGAAATACTTCTTCAGATCTGAGATTTGTCTCTGATATAAGTTTTCTAGGTTCTGGAAACCCCTTCCTCCATTCTGTCTTGGTAATGAGAATCTTTCAATGGACGATTTTGGATGATGTCTTCTATACTGTGTGAAGATTTTCTTTGTTGCGATGTTTAAATTTTCAAGATCAGTTTTGGACCATTTAATCACTCCAAAAGAATATGTTAGCAGTGGAACGCAGAATGTATTTACTGCTTTCATTAAATTTTTTCCATTTAACTGTGTCTTCAATGTTAATTTTAATCTCGCTAGGTATCGTTTTGGTATGATTGATGTGGAAGGATTGACAGAAACCCAGATATTTGTATGTATCATTTCGTTCTTGGGCTTCGATTATTTCGTTATTCTGGGTTATATGTGGTACTTGGTGTTGGACGCCTTTTCTGATTGCTTGGGTCTTACTTTTCTCAATACCAAAACACATACCAATATCACCGGAAAACTGTTCAGTCAGATTTAATAGGTTTGTTAACTGATTTTGTGTACTTGCATATATTTTTATGTCATCCATATACAGCAAGTGACTTATTCTGTTTTCTCTTTGTTTGTTAATTCTTATATTGAACCCATAATTGCAGCTGTTCAGGATATCGGAGAGGGGATTTATTGCTAAGCAGAACCATAACGGGCTAAAGAGAATCGCCTTGAAAAATTCCTCTTCGGCTCATTATTGGGTCTGACTGAATTGTTTGTTCATTTAAGGTTATTTGGAGGGTGGTCTTCCAAAATTCCATGGAACATTTGAGAAAAGTACAGATTTTAGTATCAATTTTGTATAATTCCAGAATTTTGCATAGCCAGGAATGAGGGACAGAATCGTAAGCTTTCTTATAATCAATAAAAGCAGTATATATGTTTCGGTTTTCTTTTCTAGCTTGTTCACAGATGATGGAATCTATGATTAATTGCTCTTTGCAACCAAAGGATCCTTTAATACATCCTTTCTGTTCTTCATTAATGATGTTAGAGTTAAAACAGTGTTGATAGATTTTTTGTGTAATGCATGAGGTTAATATTTTATAGATTGTCGGTAAACATGTGATAGGTCTGTATTTTGATGGATTTTTTGTGTCGTTATCTTTAGGTTTTAGGTATGTTACACCATGACATAAGAATGTTGGAAAGGAGGATGGGTCAAGAAGGAACTGATTTAAGTGATGTAGTAAATGAATATGTACACAATTTAATTTTTTTATCCAAAAATTATGGATTTTGTCTGGTCCTGGTGATTTCCAGTTGTGTGTCTTATTGATGGTATTTATTAATTCGGCAAGTGTTATCTGATGATCATTCATTGGTGTAACTGTGGATAGTTTATGGGATATATGAGGAATCCATTTGGCAGATTGATTAAATTAAAATTCTTGAGACCAACGTTTTGGCCAAAATGTTGTTACATCCTGTGAACTTGGAAGTTCACCGGATAATCGAGTTTTGTTTGAATTAGTTAAATGTTGATAGAATAGTTTTTCGTTGTTTAAAAATTTAGTGCTATGAATTTTTCTGAGATGTGATTGTTTGTATCTTTTAAGTCGTTTGCTATATAAGGAAAGTTTTTGTAATAGGGTATCTTTAATTTGGGATAGTGTTGTGTTGTATTCATCGTAATCAGTTTGATGAAAATTATTGTTGGTCAGTATCGAATGCATACATGTCATGATATGTGGTGTTTTGACTCCTCTAAGGTACTGTGTTATTTGACCTAGTTGTTTTCTAATGTTATTAATTTTATAATTTAACCGTGTTTCCCAATGAGGGGTGGAAGGTATACGATTGGTATTTGTATTATGTTATCTTTACATGTGTTAATTTGAATACAAGTTAAAGCTGCACAGTAGATAATTGTATGAAGTTTTTCAAAAGAGATCGAGTTTGTGAGATATTTTGGTAAAATGAAGGAGTTCATTATTTCTACAATTGCCAGAAACTTTTTAGAATAACACTGGCGGGGAAGTGAATGTCTATCATTTGGTTTTAATTTGGAACATGTTTCGAAAGTTAATTTAAATTGGTCTTCAATTTCATTTTGGAAATTAATATGAAATTTAAAATTGTTGTTTACAGTTTTGATTAATGTGTCTTCGTTGTTGTAGTACGTGTTTTGTAGATTATCTGTGATGTTAATTTGGTTTTGGATTGTTCTTGATAAATTGTTAAGTGATTTGTCAGTTACCGAATATCTGGGATCTGTTTGATAGTGTGTTGGTAATTTGTGTTATGGTTGTGATCTTATTTTGAGGTGTTTTGTTTAATAAATCTTTAGTAAATGTGTCAGTTGGTGTCTGTGGTGTATTTGATAGACTACTGTTAGGGGAAAGTCCCCCTTATTGGACCAGTGCCTGAATTGAACCACCCTATTTTTTTTAAATCTAGAATAGTTGCCGACATCTAGTGCATATTATTCGAAAGTATTTGGCGCCAAAGCAGTGTTATGCAAAATTCCATTCTGTAGCGGTAAGTGTCTGCTTGTTAAATTGCAAAGAAATTTTGCTACCATTGTGATACAACTTTTCCCATGTTTTTGTAAGGATATATAGCCTAAACTATTTCATAAATACAGTGCACAAAGACTACATTGGTCAAAGCGTAATAAAATTAAGAACCTAACCTAGAAATAAATATGTTTTATTTCGTTATAGCATTTTAACACAAGAAAATAGTAAATTTTGTACCAGCGCGTAAATTGGACCACCTTATATTCTCCTTATTTGGACCGGTCTAATTGAAGGAACTCCCGATTTGACCAATCACGTCACAGTATCTAGGCGCGTAATTTTAGAACTTCGTATTACAATGCTCAATAATACATTTTCTTGTTATAATCTATTAACCATGATTTTATACTAGATGGATGCGGAGATTTCACGATTGATGAGCACTCTAATCCAAACAATAAGACTGAAAAACAGCTGATTACTGAAGTAAAGAACAATACGAAACTAGAGATTGAGGAATTAAGACTTGATGATGAAACTGCCACTCTGCATTATTATACACCTCTAGAAATTTCACCTATGCCCAAGATAATTAAGCAAACAACAAAAAGAAAAAGAAAGACGCAAAAAATTACAATATTAACAACGACACCTTATAAGGAACAGTTGGAACAAAAGAAAAAACAGAAGACTAAGAGCAAATTTGTTGATGAACTTAAAGAACCCAAAGCAGGTCCATCTGGTTTGCGTAAGGACAAAATACCAAATACAAAACAAGACGTTATTATAGAGGCCAGTGTGCAAGAATGGTACTGCTTCCTCTGCGAGGAAACAACGCTGGAAGACATGATTCAGTGCAATGGATGCAAAAAATGGGTTCACGAAACATGTTCAGGAGCTGAATCGCGCACAAAGCGTTATTTATGTGATTATTGTACCTAATTATAACAGTATTGTTCAGTTTACATGTAGTTCTAAAACGTTTGTTTTTGTTATTATTTTTTAAAATTTAATATTGTTTTTTTTACATTTTAAATAAAATTATGTTCATTTTATGCATTTTTACCAAGAAGGTCCAATTTAAGAACCGGTGGTCCAATTCAAGAATATAGTGGTCCAATTTAGGAACCCAGTCTCCTATTTTGGACCACTTGCAGACCTTCAAAAATTATTTTTTTTAACCAATTTGGATGTTTCAAAAAATTCTAAAAAAATTACCGAACGTTGAAAACATGTCAAAGTTAATGGCTCAACACTAGATAAGTTAATATCGTATTACATTTTGGTTTTAATTGAAAAAATGTCCCACTAGGTCCGAATGAGGGGACTTTCCCCTACTATTTTGTGGTATAATCGGGATCTTGTTTTGAGATGTTGTTTTTGACAAATTGGTGACAGATGTGTCAGTCAGTAATGTATTTGGTGGTGTGTTGTTGATATATTCAGGAAGTGGATTAATGGTTTTGGAAAGTTCATTTTTTAATTGTTCTAGAGTAAGTTGAGGTATGTAGTTATTTTTAACTATAGCTCTACGTTGATCTGCTAAATTTTGAATGGTAACTGGAAAATTTGGGTACTCATATTATTATTATTATTATTAATGATATTATTAAGATTTTGTCACAATGCCAAAATTCCCAGCAGGAAAAGAAAAGCTCCTACGTTAGAATTTGGAGAATTGCAAAAAGCACAACTAAATTTGTGGAAGTGTGTACAGAAAGAAAGTTTAATAATTGATTCTATGGAAGAGAAGTCAATAAAAAACAAATACTTCGAACAGGTTTTTTTATGATCCCGAGTTTGTCTTCACTATCACAAATAAGGCTCTAGTAGTGAAATACTGTAATAATAGGTCGTCATTACGTATTCATATCAAATAGTATGTAATGTACCAAGGAATTAAAAACCTGTCTGTGTGTTGAAAAAAAAAGTATGTAGCTGCGAACAACAAAAATATACCTACATACCGACGTGATGAGATTATTTATACATTTTTTCTAGTGTACGGAGTGGCTATTTCGTAAGTTGAACATTTGCGTGCTGTAGATACCATTCATATTTCTCCAGTATTATCACTCCGCACGGATCTTTTACAGACTACATTAGCTATTTCAGTTTAAATTTTCTCTTAAACCTTAAACATAGGTACTTTTTTTTCATAAGTGCTTTAATTTCAATAGTAACGAAAGAGACCGGTGGAAAACGGTTTTAGATTTTGTTATTTTTGTACTTAAAATTATTAAAATAAGTAGAAAAAGGACCTGACACGGTCGTAGTCGCAGGTTTAGGACGTTTTGAAAAATGTTCATTACATCATAGATTTTTCCACGTAATTTCGGAAAATTACAAATATTTCAAATTTTTTTACATTTTGAGTGAAACTATAGACGGTTGATACATTGATGATTACAGGAAATCAACCTATAAATAGAGTTTGCTCATCGCTGTCTCTATAATAACATCTCCGTAACCCCGCCCATTTATAACCCAAAAGCTACAACAACGCAACGCGTGACCTCGCTAATAAAATACCACAACCTCACCATTAAATTTGTGGTCTGATGCGGTATTGCAGACAAAATTTGTTGTTATAGTGTTGAAGTTTAACTGTTAATTTGTGTAGTACAGTACACGTTAATTAAGAAATATGGAGAAACCGACTATAAACCCCGTAAGTAATGTTTAAAATATAGTTTTTGGTTATTGTAATATTTACGCAAATTGTAGCAAATTCCGTATTCGGGGTCAATTTCTGGCGGCTTACAACAGGGAAAAATGGTTCGAATTCAAGGAGCTGCACCACAATTCGCAGATAGGTTAATAATATAAATTGTGAAATTGACCTTTTCTCAATTAGTTTATCATTAGGTTTAACATAAACCTACAAACTGGACCCAACATTAAACCCAGAGACGACACTGCGTTGCATATTTCGGTTAGACTAAAACAAGGTTATATTGCACGTAATTCCTACCTGGGTGGAAATTGGGGCGATGAACAAGGAAAAGGAAGGTTACCGATTGGACAAGGGCAACAGTTTGAAATAATTATATTACCTGATGCACAGGACTTTAAAGTGAGCGTCACTAGAACTGACAAAAAAAAAAACGCCATCAATTCACTCTAATTTGAATGAAATTTGTCTTTTAGATTGCTGTCAATGGACAACATTTTTGTGAATTTCCCTATCGTATTCCAAAAGAAAAAATTACGCATTTAACAGTCGATGGAGACGTTGTAATCACACTGATTTCATGGGAAGGTATGATGCCATCTGCTCCTCCAGAGGGCGGTGATGTCACTCGCAGCTCTGCTGGACAAAGTGAGAGTGGAGCAGGAACACCTCAAGGTCCAGGAACCCCTCAAGGCCCAGGCTTTGGACCTCCACAACAGGGTCCAGGATATGGACCACCTCCACAAGGTCCAGGATATGGGCCACAGGGTGCAAATTATGGACCACCACCACAAGGATTTGGTCCACAAGGCTATGGTCCACCGCCACCTCATGGATATGGAGCACCACCTCCGCCAGGGGTAAGTGTAGACTTTATACTCTTATGTCCATGGAAAGGTGTGTTACAGTTTTATCTATTACTGTTTTTAAGTTTTCTATCTTAGAATGCTGGATTTAAATAACATTCATTCTCTATAATTCATTTTCATTTTTCAACGTATTACGTTATAATGTTCAAGCCAATTAGCAGCGGTATTTGAGTAATTTTGATGGAAATTTTAGTTGATTCTTTATCAAGGTTGCATAATTTAGTAATTATGAGAATCGCATCCACATTAAATGTCATATGAGTGAATTTAACAACCATGTTCCAGAATACATTTTCTATTTACCAAAAAAAAAATTGCTTCATTGTACTTTTATGCGTCATTCATTTGTGACCTCACAAAGTTTGTAAAGTGTAAGCTAGTTTGAATTATGACGTCAGATATACATAATTTCATTGAAAACAGTGATTCATTAAGATTTGTTTGATTACGTTTAATCATTCTTTAGATATTTACAATTTGTGTACTCGAACAAATGTTGGGTTCAACGGTGCGAAATAAATAAAAACAATGGTAACGTTGTTATTTATTTGCTGTCAATTTGCAGACATTATTTTGTTAGTAATGTTTACTTCATACCTCAAATTTTTTCAAATGCGTAGAAACATTTTATTTATTCTTTTTTTTTTTTGTTTTTAGTGTAACGACATTGTTTTTTATGGAGGAAGTATGTCTCAAATTTTGTCGAATTTATTGTTGGCAATAAAAAACGTATATATTTGTCTTATATCACACACTTAAGTATCTTTAAAGCTTTAGTGTGTTTTTACTTAGTGAGGTGCCCATAAAGTATGAAATAAATTCGATAAGACACCTGAACAACTCAATTTGAGAGTTATAAAGTTATGACTACATTGATATAATTTTTAGCGGCTAACCGTAGTACGCGATCCGTGGTTAAACAACAAATTTGGGAATATTTCGTTAGTATTTCGGACAAGTCATAAAAGTGTCACTACTATATAAAATATGTATAGCGTTGAGCAAAATTTTACACATTCGTTGCTTAAGTACACCTCGTGTGAAAAGTTCGAAATGCTTTTAAATTTGTATTTTTGTGCTATAAAATTGTATAGTATTGTAGTACATATTTCTTTGTCCAACATGCATGAATAAATAATTTAAATTTAACTGTGACGTTACTATAAACTATGACGACCGTTGTTCATCATTTTTCCTTTGGCGGTTGTAAACGTGATTTAAAATAAATCATGATGTCACAACCGATTACGCGACTATGAGTCTGTTGACTTTCTTCTGATTGGGTCGTAATCAAGTTTAACAGTCATAATAAAAGCACACTTTTGTTTTGGATAGACATATTGCATGTTTTAAATTTTTGTTAATAATTTTGCGCATAATTCATTAATTTAAAAACGGTGCAATTGGGGACGATATAAAACTAAGCAACTAAATATGTGTAACAAAATAATTAAAACATAGGATACACAATTGTAATAATTTCAGGAAATCGATCATAAATAAATTTTAAATAACGTTCAAAAATAGATATTGATCTTGATTTATAATTATTAGAAATCGTGTTATATGATTTGATTGTGTTATAATTTATATATAAATAAATGATTGTCATATTGTTATCCGTTGCAATTAAAAACAATTTTTTATTATAAATTTTGGAGATGACGTCATCCCATTGCTGGAAGGGATGATAAGCCAAATTTTAGTTAGCGTTTAACCATCTACATGATATTCCTAATATACATACAAAATTTGAAAACAATCGGTTTAGTAGTTTCGGAAATTACTTGTTTAATAAAAATGGATACAGACACCACCACTCGTACTCGTACTTCCTTAACTTACGCTTGGGAAGTGAAAAAACAAACATTGTAAAGTCGAATCACTGAAAATTAAGAAATGGAAAAATCGGAAAACTGAGAAGTCCAAAAAAACTGAAAAATTTAAACTCTAAAATCTAGAGTTGCAAAATTAAAATTGCAGATGGAAAAATTGAAAAATCCAAAAGCTGAAAAATTTCACATTAAAAAAATATAAAATCAAAACGCAGAACCGAAAAATTGAAAAAATGAAGAAAACAAAAGATCGAAGCGAAACATTACAAATCGGAGATTTGAAGAAAAGAGAAATTAAAGAATCGAAAAATTGAAAACTCGAGAAATTTTAAATCGAAGAATTGAAAAACAAAAAGTTACAAATCGAAATGTTGAAAATTCGAATAATTGAAAAAATAAAGAAAAAACCAAAATGAAAAATTGCAAATCGAAAACTTGAAAAATTAAAATTGAGAACTCGGGAAACTCAATACGAAAAATTGCAAAATCTAAAAATTGAAAAATTCATAAGTTGGAAAATTGAAAAACTGGAAAAATCTAAAATTCAAAAATCAAATGGTTGCAAAATCGAGAAATTGCAGATCTAAAAAAGAAAAATCCAAAAACTGAAAATTTTTACATTCAAAAAAGAAAAATTATAGGATAAAATTTGTTTAAAATCGTAAATTTTTCTATAGAAATATGGATTTTGCAATGAAGTCCCACCCAACGGCTCGCGACGAATAAAAAATCATCACAACTGCGGTAGGGCGGGTGGGTGGGGCTTATATTGACCGTGTTTTTTTTTTTAATATATGTAATCTTTTCATAACAAGAAACTTAAAGCATATTTATCAAATTGTGAATTTGAGGTTATTATGGATTTTGAAATTAAGCCCCACCCTCCGACTCATGACGAATAAAAAAATCATCACAACTGAGATCGGGTGGGTGGGCGGGGCTTATATCTGGCCTTGTTTTTTAACATATCTAATTGTCTTTTCATAACATGAAACTTAAAACATGTTCAAAATGGTAAATTTTGTAGAGAAACTTGAATTTTGCAATTAAGCTCCGCCCGTCCGTCTGACAACAAATGAAAATTTCATCACAATTGAGATAGGGCTGGGTGGGCGGGGCTTAATCTTTTGCTTTTTTTCTAATATAGTTTTCTTTCAACAATAGAGTACTTACTTAAAACATCATATGGTGAATTTGAGGTTAGAATTATGTCACATTTTGTATTTTTACCATTTTATTTCATCCGCAGCATTTGGCAACGCTGCGCCGCAAATATAATGACGTCAAAATTAATATACGTAACAACTTTTACTGTCATATGAAAATTTTAAATCGAAGAAGTGTAAAGTCTTAAAATTGAAGAAACAAGAAATTATGAATCGAAATATTGAAAAATCAATAATTGAAAAAATAAAGAAAATAAAAAACCAAAACGAAAAATCAAAGCGAAGACGTGAAAAATTAAAATGGAAACTCTGGAAACTATACGAAAAATTGCTTCATCTAAAAATTGAAAAATTCACAAGTTGGAAAATTGAAAAACTGAAAAATGTGAACTTGAAAATTCGAAAAATTCAGAAACGAAAAATTGAAAGAATATGAAACTGGAAAATCTGAAATTGAAAAATGAAAAATTCAAAAATCTAAGAGTTAAAAAATCGAAAAATCGCAGATCAAAATACTGAAAAATTTCATATTGAAAAAAGAAAAATTATAAAATCATAAAAGTGAAAACTCGAAAAATTTAAAAAACAAAAAATAAGAAACCGAAACGAAAAATAACAAGTCGAAAATTTGAAGAAATGAAAAATTTAAATTTGAAAACTCGAAAAATTGTAAACCGAAAAATTGAAAGAATATGAAACTGGAAAAAATTAAAATTGAAAAAATGCAAAATCAATAATCTCAGAGTTGAAAAATCAAAAATTGAAGATCGAAAAATTGAAAAATTCAAAAACTAAAATTTCACATTAAAAATAAATATAAAATCATAACATTGAAAAAATAAAGAAAACAAAAGATCGAAACGAAAAGAGAAATTAAAAAATCGCCAAATTGAATAATTAAAAATTGAAAACTCCGGAAATTTTAAATCGATGAATTGCAAAATCTAAAAATTGGAGAAATAAGACAAATGAGAAATTGGGAAAACAAAAAGTTACAAATCGAAACATTGAAAAACCAAAACGAAAAATTGCAAATCGAAAACTTGAAAAATTAAAATTGAAGGCTCAAGGGAAACTCAATACGAAAAATTACAAAATTTAAAAATTGAAAAACAGAAAAATTTAAACTTGAAAACTCAAAAAATTGCAAATCGAAAAATTGAAGAAACTGAAAATTGAAAGAACATGAATCTGAAAAAGTCTAAAATTGAAAAAATGATAAATTAAAAAATCACATTGTTGAAAAATCAAAAAAGTGCAGATCGAAACATTGAAAAACCCAAAAACAATTATCATTTTAAAAAAAGAAACAGAATCAGGACATTGAAAAACTGAAAAATTGAAAAAATAACGAAAAATCGGGAAAAACCGAAACGGAAAATTACAAATCGAAAATTTGACGAAATGAAAAATTAAAGAATCGAAAAATTGAAATCTCTGGAAATTTTAAATCGAAGAATTACAAAGTCTACAAATTGAAGAAATAAGAAAAAATAATAAATAAAAAACAAACCGAAAAATTGCAAAGCGAAGACGTGAAAAAAACTTGAAAACTCGGGAAACTCAATTGCTTAATCTAAAAATTGAAAAATTCACAAGTTGAAAAACTGAAAATTTTCAACTTGACAACTTGAATAATTTCAAACTTCAACCCGAAAACTTGAAGAAACGGTAAATTGAAAGAATATGAAATTGGAAAAATATAAAATTGAAAAATGAAAAATTCAAAAATCTGAAGATTAAAAAATTAAAAAATCGCAGATCGAAATATTGAAAAAGAAAAATTATAAAATCATAACATGGAAAATCCGAAAAATGGAAAAAAATAACTAAAAATTGAAAAAGTAAAAAATAAAAAAACCGAAACAAAAAATAAGTCGAAAATTTGAAGAAATGAAAAATTAAACTTGAAAACCCGAAAAATTGTAAATCGAAAATCTGAAGAAAAAAAAATGAAAAACCAAAAAATTCCAAACCGAAAAATTGAAAGAATAAAAAACTGGAAAAATATGAAATTGAAAAAATGAGAATTCAAAAATCAAATGGTTGACAAATCGAAAAACTGAAAATTTTTACATTCAAAAAAGAAAAATTATAGGATTGAATTATATTTAGCCTTGTTTTCTTTTAATATATGTATTCTTCTATTCATAACAAGAAACTTAAAATTTGTTGAAAATGGTAAATTTTTCTATAGAAGTATGGATTTTGCAATTAGTCCCATCCCCCTGTTCACGACGAATAAAAAAATCATCACAACTGCGGTAGGACGGGTGGGCGGGGCTTATATTTGGAATTGTTTTTTTTTTTAAATATATGTAATCTTTTCATAATAAGTAAACTCAAAGCATATATATCAAATTGTGAGTTTGAGGTTATAATTATGTCCAACATTTTGTATTTTTACCATTTTATTTTATCATAGCATATGGCAACGTTGCGCTACAAATATAATCTGACTTCCTGATTGGTTCCTGGCCGTGGCCTACTAAGATCTGGCGAATTTCATTGTTGAAATTGATTCTTTTTTAACAAGATCTGTTTAATCTGTTTTTACATGCATATGTTATTCAGAACTGGTTTTATTAAGTTTTGTGCTTGTGGTTAGTAAATTTTTTTGGGGAAATATGGATTTTGAAATTAAGGCCCGCCCTCCAACTTATGACGAATAAAAAATTCATCACAACTGTGATCGGGAGGGTGGGCGGGGCTTATATTTAGCCTTGTTTTTTTAACATATCTAATCGTCTTTTCATAACATGAAACTTAAAACATGGTAAATTTTTGTAGAGAAATATGGATTTTGCAATTAAGCTCCGCCTCTCCGTCTGACAACGAATGAAAATTTCATCACAATTGAGATAGGGGAGGGTGGGTGGGGTTTAATCTTTTGCATTTTTTTTTATTATAGTTTTCTTTCAACAATAGAATACGTACTTAAAATATCATATGGTGAATTTGAGGTTAGAATTATGTCTGACATTTTGTATTTTTACCATTTTATTACATTCGCAGTATTTGGTCCCAAATATAATGACGTCAAAATTAATATACGTAAAACTTTTAGTGTCACATGTGTTCATTATAATCAAGTTCTTCTTCATAATCGTCATTTTTACATTAAAAAACTGAAAAATTGAAAAAATAAGAAAGATTAACAATTCGAAAAAACAAAAAATTATAAAGCGAAATATTGAAAAATCGAATAATTGAAAAAAATAAAGACATTAAAAAACCAAAACGAAAAATTGCAAAGCGAAGACGTGAAAAATTAAATTTGAAAAGTCGGAAAACTCAATATGAAAAATTGCTTAATCTAAAAATTGAAAAATTCACAAGTTGGAAAATTGAAAAACTGAAAAATTTGAACTTGAAAACTCGAAAAATTGCAAATTGCAAACCGAAAAATTGAAGAAACGAAACATGGAAAGAATATGAAACTTGAAAAATCTAAAATCGAGAAATGAAAAATAAAAAAATCTAAGAGTTAAAAATCGAAAAATCGCAGATCGCAAATTTGAAGAAAAAAAAAATGAAAAACCAAAAAATTGGAAGCCGAAAAATTGAAAGAATATGAAAAAACTCTAAAACTGAAAAAATGGAAAATCAAAAATCTAAGAATTGAAAAATCAAAACATTGAAGAAATAAGAAAAATGAAAAATAAAAAGTTACAAATCGAAACATTGAAAAATTGAATAATTGCAAAAATAAAGAAAAACCAAAACGAAAAAATTGCAAATCGAAAACTTGAAAAATTCAGAAGTTGGAAAATTAAAAAACTGAAAAATTTAAACTTGAAAACTCCAAAAATTGCAAATCGAAAATATGAAGAAACAAAAAAAGTGAAAAACTGGAAAATCGCAAACCGATAAATTAAAAAATCAAATGGTTGAAAAATAGAAAAATTTCAGTTCGAAAAATTGAAAAATCAAAAAACTGAAAATTTTCACATTGAAAAACGAAACATTATTGAATCAGGACATTGAAAAACGGGGAAATTGAAAAAATAACGAAAAATTGGAAAATTAAGAAAATAAAAAATCGAAACGAAAAATTACAATTTGAAAATTTGACGAAATGACAAATTAATGAATGGAAAAATTGAAAACTCGGAAAATTTTAAATCAAAGAATTGCAAAGTCTAAAAATTGAAAAAGTAAGAAAAATTAACAATTGAAAAAACTGTGGCGGCACAATAACACGTTGGTAAGCGGAAAAACATAAGCGGCCTCGTAGTCTAGTGGTCAGGATACCTGGCCCGCAAGCGGGTGACGTGAGGTTCGATTCCCACCGAGGCAACAATATTTTTCTTCGCTTACCTTCAAAACAAAAAAATATAAATCGAATATTTGAAAAAATGAAGAATATCAAAAACAACGAAAAATTGCAAAGCGAAGACGTGAAAAATTATTATTATTGCTTAATCTAAAAATTGAAAAATTCACCAGTTGGAAAATTGAAAAACTGAAAAATTTGAATTTGAAAACTCGAAAAATTGCAAACTGCAAACCGAAAAATTGAAGAAATGAAATGAAATGGTATGAAACTGGAAAAATATAAAATTGAAAAATGAAAATAAAGATCTAAGGGTTAAAAATTAAAAAATCGCAGATCGAAATATTGAAAAATTTCACATTGAAAAAATAGAAAACTGAAACGAAAAATAACAAGTCGAAAATTTGAAGAAATGAAAAATTAAAGAATCGAAGAATTGCAAAATCTAAAAATTGAAGAATAAAAAAAATAAAAATTGAATAAACAAAAAATTAGAAATCGAAACATTGAGAAATTAAAATTGAAAACTAGAGAGATCCAGTACGAACAATTCCAAAATCTTAAAATGAAGGAATTCAAAACTTGGAAAATTGAACAACTGAAAAATTTAAACTTGAAAACTTGAAAAATTGTAAACCGAAAATCTGAAGAAACAAAAAACCGAAAAATTGCAAACGGAAAAATTGAAGAAATGAAAAATGGAAAGAACATGAAATTGGAAAAATTTAAAATTGAAAAAATTAATAATTGAAAAACCCAAGAGTTGAAAGATCGAAAAATTTCAGATAACCAGAAAAACTGAAAAATTTCACATTGAAAAAAATGAATTATAAAATCAGACCATTGAAAAACAGGAAAATTGAAGAAATAAAGAAAATAAATAAACCAAACGGAAAGTTACAAATCGAAAATTTAAAGGAATGAAAAGGGGAAATTTTTAATCAAGGAATTGCAAAATCTAAAAATTGAAGAAATAGGAAAAAATAAGAAAAATAAAAAATAAAGAAAATAAAAAACCAAAACCTTAAATTGTAAATCGAAAACAATTAAATTTGTAAATTCGGGAAGCTCAATACGAAAAATTGCAAAAGCTAAAGATTAAAAAAAAAATACGTTTAGCGAAAAAACTGAAAGTGGATTCATACACTACAAGTATATAAGTATAATTTTGTATAACATTCAAATCAATTTAAAATACCATTCATTGAAATAACGTTATCAAATTATCGGTGGGGATGATTAGCCAAATTTTGGTTACCATTTAACCAGATATTTGTAATATACATACATAATTTAGAGATTACGTGTCTAATGAAAATGGATAAAGACACCAGACAGACAGACAGACAGACGGAAATGGGAGACTGCTTTTTTCGTACTGCAGGGGTCATGAAACGTCGAGAAAACATAAAAGTGACCATTCGTCTGATGAACTCGATTACAATAAATTTTTGTGCAAATAAAGAAAGACATGTGGTACATTCTGGAAATATTTGGTTGTATCCATACTTTTTTGCAACCCTGTATGTATGACTGAGTTCGCAGCGGTGTTGTCAGTTATTAAAAAAAACGTATGGATTTTGCGAACAAGCCGGCACACGATTCTGCATGATTCTTACAAAGTTTTTGTCATTACCCATCTGTTCCTGTTAAAATTAGATTTTACTGCTGTCAGATTTATTTGAATTTTTATATTTTGTAAAATTACGTTTTTCTGTTGATTATCACTTTTTAGAGTACATTTACGAAAAAAAATTAAAGTAGTATAACTAAACACTATTGATTCCAAAAATGTTACTTTTTATAATATAATATAGGAGTATGTATTTTATGAATATCTTGCAGATGGTAAAACGCTAACTAAAATTTGTCTAATCACCTATACCTATACAAATATTAAATATAAGTGTAATAGAAAAGGTGAAAATAAATATTTGTGAAACTTTTCAAAATATATTTAACTATTTCGTTGACCAGTGGTACGATTTCGGTGATCACTGCATACATACCAAACAAGTAACTAACGATAAGCTTGAGGTCTGCTGAGCAAGGTGCTTGGTTCTCGTAGTCTACATGTTTAATGAAATCTTTCTCCGTTTAATCCAAGGACAACCATGTATCGCGTGTTATAACTATTAGCGAATGCATCAAATAATAAAGGTCATTATCTCATTTACGCTGTTAATATCCAATGGGCAAAAAAATGGTATTGCAGATCTCCAATTTCCTGTTATTAGTTTACCTCTAAAATTTTATAATTACGGTGTGGCGCTTCTTAAACTATTTTCTAAAATAGATTTTAAAAATAAAAGTTGTAGTTTTATTAGTTAATTGTTCAATTGAAATTAATTTTATTTATATTTTTGGGATTCGACGATAAAAAACTTGTTAATAATAGCACGTCTACTGCTGAAATTGGAGAATATCTTAGGCTTATGTTTTTTTGCATGGCTTGTGTGTGTATTGTAGTACTGTTATGGTGGTGGCATTGTTGTATGACACAATAATAAGGCGTGCATTTTAACACTACAGTGTTCTTGGTATCTATCACAGTTTTCCAATTACCACACTAATCAACCAATGATTTTACATTTATTATACAATGTAAAAATTATTTAGAGTGAACAACAGACCGGAATGGACCAATTTTGGCAATCAGCACAGTCAGTACTTGCTGAAGCAATTGCTAGTGGTGCTGCCGAAAAATTATTGGGTGGGATTTTGGGCCCTAATCAGAACCAAGGTTTTTCTCCTCAAAATGCAGTGAGTGTCTGGATTTGGAATCGACAGTAGTGTCATATACGTTCATTTTAGCAATATGGCCAGTATCCACATTCTCAACAACAGTTTCCACAAAGGGGACAACAAGGTCAGCGCGATTTTAACGTGCCCCAATTTGGGGGAGAAGGTTCTGTAGGGGGTTTCGGCAGTGTAGGTTCGTTTCTTAGCAATCTCGCGAGTCAGGTGCTCACTCCTCAGCAGCAACAGCAGCAACAACAACAACAGGTTTGTTTTTGATTCGCGGTCAGCGGGACAAATATTAACAATTTGATTTGTTTCTAGGGTGGACAAGGCTTCGGTCAACGTAGTCAATTCAATCCCTTCAATTGATCATAATATTGGTGGTATTCGTTTTGGGGTGCTTTTTAATTGTGTAGTTGTTACGTTACCTTTGTTTAGTTATGTCTATATGTTTTGTATATGAAATTAAATAAAAATATTTGTTTATAACAACAGTTACAGAAGTCTTTGATTGGTACTGAAGGATAAGCTCTCTCACCTGAAGTGTGTTAATTACAGGATGATTTTTTTATCACACTAATGCAGTGTAATGCAAGTGAAAGTAGGAGTCGGCTTGTAACTGATGTTATAGACTTGTTTTAATTTTTCTGTACTAGTCTGTGTTAAGTGCTTGCGTAAAAATACATGTTTTAGGTATTTCAATTTCATTGAGATGTTAAGTTATGTTGTGGTATTCACAGATGGGATTGAGTAAAATTTTGACGCAGTTGTATAGATTAAATCTTAAAGAGTGACAAAAAAATTAGCAAAGATAAAATCTTTAATAATAATAATAATAATAATAAAATAAATCTCTTAACAGGTCAAAAGCCCAATTACTAAGAGACAAAAAAAAAGATGTATGCTGTAAAAGTTACAAAATTATGCAATTTTGCTTAATCCCATATACTTCTTATCTGCATGCCTAAATACTAGACAATTTCTGCTGCCACATGTGAACTTGTAGCTATTTTGCAAAAACTAAGAAGCCTATATGAGCATTTAGTAAAATTTCACTCACAAAATTTTTACCATCACATACAGTGCCTGTCCTAAGTACAGCATATAAAAAAATAAGCGAAACAAATAGTTTTTTGTTTACAAATTTATAAAAAGTATTTGTTTCGCGTATGTTTACCACGATTCATGCTTCTGACGCACGTAGAATATTAGTTTCGCTTGTAGCAAGTAACAGAAGTGTGTAAGGAAGGTATTGGTGATCATTTTTTAAACAAGTTTAAAGATATTGGCTACTTTAATAAATACGTAAATCTAATTTTTTCCTTAAAAAGTTTTGCTATACATTTTTTTTATATAAAAAATACGTAGTTTCTAAGTCATATTGGTACAAATAATGTATAAATGAATATGGTACTTATTCATTTTAAAGCTGATAAGAATAAAGTCATGAATGTCAGAAATGTGTACCATTATATAAAGTAGATTAGCATTTGGTCTGAATTTTATAAAATAACACTAATTGTAGTGATGCATTTTGAACAGAATCTGTATTTGAATCGTTTAAGAGTTAAAGTTCTATTAAATGGGAAATGGGGTTTTTAAAATATAAACGAGAATCTGTATATGCGTAGTGCCTTTGCTAGAGAATAGCAATTCATTTACAACAAAAATAGGTTAATGTTAACTTTTACTATAATAAAAAAAATGGTGCTTTTCTTGTTACTGAGTGATATATTCTATTATTGCTTTATTATTAACCGTCCAGTGTAGAAGATTTATTAATATTTTTATATATGATTTCAATTTTTCAGTCTATGTTATAATTTATACCATGTAAATTGATTTTTATGCTTATTTTGAATAAACATATATTACTGGAATTTGTATTACTCTTACTTTTTTGTTTTGTAACCACAAACTGTGTAAAATTCGGTATTAAAGAAAATAATTTTAGGTAAATGTACAAGGATCAACTGGCATGCCAATGCCTCCTCTACCAAATACAATGCCACATGGTCCAGTTGGAAGTTTTCCTCATCATCAGAGTAGTATGACAATGCCTCATCTTCCAAATACAATGCCACACGGTCCAGTAGGAAGTTTTCCTCCTCATCAGAGTGGTATGCCAATGCCTGGAGTGCCTCACCAGCACCATCATCACCATAAGCACAAACCGTACCCAGTCCAGCCTGAATACCCTTATTCCGGAGGAGCCAGGTATCCACAACCTGTTCCAGGTTATGCACCTGCTTATCCATATTCCGGAACGTCGTATCCTTATGTGAAAGGCAAAAAAATGAAAAAATCCAAGTTGAGAAAGGCAATGAAATATGGAGTCCCGGCGGCTGGAGCTGCTGGAGTTGGTTTAGGAACTTACGCCGTTGCGTCCGCTCTACATAATAGTTCCAGTAGTTCCAGTTCTTCGTCGAGCAGTAGTAGCAGCAGCGATTCCGACTGATTCCTTTTTTTAGTTTGTATTTTCGACTGTATATTTAGAGGCTGAGTATGATTATAGTTGAGCAGGGTAAATGTTAAGGTTATCTCCATATTTGTGTAGTTTATTAAAATGTTGTTACGAAGTATTATTTAAATCGTATTGTAATTTGTATATAAAAAACAATACAATAGGATTATTTCATTTCTTCGTGAGTCTTTTTGACCGTACGCAAATTGTTCAATGAGCTTTAACCAATAATAACAAACAAAGCAAAATCTGAAGTAAAGTAACTGAGCGGAGTTTGGGGCTCCTGGTTGTGGCTGTTCTCCCTCTACGACGGTGATTCTAGCAAACACTGCCGCACAGCACCCCTCCATTTCGAACATGCCTGACTTCTATTCAAGGCCTCCTTTGTGCAGATGGCGCGATAAATCCAGTTAGCTCGACTAGGAACCGCGCCCTCCGCTTCTGCCACGTGTTTCCGTGTTATTTACGTCAATTCCATTTTAAATGTTCACTTTCAGTGACTGATATTAAACAACAACTAAACAAGTGTTAAAGTTTCAAAGCAGCAATAAACAACATTTAAATTCGCCATAAACTCTCGTGATTTTTTTTTAAACAGCGAAGAATTCTTATCTGAGATTAAGATTGGACATCAGACAATTTATATTATGGAAACAGTAAGCAACAAATTATTTATATACATGGAAAAAAATTAGCAGATTTAGAAAACAAAACAAAAAAATCTGGTGTGAAGCGAAATTTGTCCAGATAAAAATATTACGTGAGGTTAGGAACTCCAGGGCACGAAAATCTACGTTCACTTTAAATTATATAATAAAGAAAATTGTGAGATAGAGAAAAATTGTATGAGGTGAAAAATTACAAAGCTTACAAAAAAGCTGGCAATCTGGAGGTTCAAAATGGCGTCGGTTATTCATAATTAGATAACAAAGGATGAGCCCTGATTAAGTGAATTTCATGAAATCTCCTATCAAGTACTTGATCTAAACAAATTCCTGACTGTTAGATGGTGTTAGAACTAGTTAACGATTAAAATCCTAACATGAACTGTGAATTTATAAACAATAAAACGGGTTAGCGTCGGTCGAAAATTCGGCTATTTCCGCTTCGAAAGCCGCAAGAATTGGCTACGGGTATTGGGGAAAACTGTGGCATCGCAATTGGTTCGATTAATTGTCGTTAAACAAAGGCGTCCTATTTTTATTAGCTACCAAACTAACTAAACTCAACCTAGCTAACTCACCACGTGGTTACACTCACAACAACCAAATCAACTTCTACCAACCCTCTCAACAGAAATTCCCCAGGAGAGCTACCAACTACCAGAAAAAGAACAAAACGTGCACATGGTTGCCTAAGTTTAACGATTTTCTTGATTGAATTTTTTTTCAAATTCGGTCACCACATTAAATTAATAAAATATATATAAAATAAAAAATTTTGGTATACTAATGCAAAATAACAGTTTATTTTATTAATAACAATGCACAACGATTAATGACTGGTTGTTTTGGTTATTGTCCTAAAAAAAATTCAGCCACCATCGTTACTAAGAAATCAGAAAGTACCTAAGTCGGAGGTACTGACACATTGGGTGCGTGCAGTGTTGCCAATTTTACTTCTATAAAATAACGTTTTTTTCGTAATCTATATCACAAGGATTTTTTTTTTTACCTGATACCTATCTAGATTTCAAATTCTTCGTCAGGTACTCGGAAAACAAATGTTCACTACTGGTTCAAATCATGTCAGGTACAGGTAAGTATTTTTGTACTTTTATTATTTAAAATGTATTTAAAAAAATGCTAAAGTTTATAGCGAAACGTTACCAGATTTTTTTTTTAAGGAAAACAACTGAAAACGGATTCGTAGACCACAATTATATAATAAGTAAGTATATTATTGTATAACATTTAAATCATTTTAAAATAGACTTCTTTGACATGACGTCATCGGATTATTGGTGGAGATGTTTAGCCACATCTTGGTTAGTGTTTTATCATTTACATGACATTCCTATTACACATACAAAATTTGACAACAATTGGTCCAGCACTTTCAGAGATAACGCGTGTAATAAAAATCGATGCAGATAGATGGAAAACTGTAGAACTTTTTTTTTTCTCTTGGGGTCATGAAACGTCGAGAAAACATGTAACTGACAAGTTGCCCTAAGCTTACGCTTAAGAAGTAAAAGTGGTACGGCGCTTTCGACTTCAGTTTCTATAGTACATAACACATAAAACAATATGAAGTAAATACAACAAGGCACATATTAAATTCAGTCAAAATCAAAATAACAATTGGAGAATAAATGTTCAAATTCAAGCTGTGAGAAAATTTTGACAAAATTAGCATAATACAAAACAAACATAGAATACCCCTTTCACTTCTGGTCAATTATTGTGATATTATTTTAACTGATGATAATTTTTAAGGTGTAATAAAATAACTTTTGTAGAAGCATCCAGAAGTAATAATATGAACAACAACAATAGTAACATAAGATTAATAATAAAATAAAGTGAGAAAAAAAAGCATTGCTTCGCTTCAAGTATGGTATAAAAATTTGTTTGAACCTCAAATTACACGTTTTTTTCATAGTCTTGTTTTGAGACAATTTTTTTTTATTGATTTTGAGTAAAGTTTCTGGTTTTGGCGAGCAGTAAGATTACAATAATTTGCAATTTAAATCAATCAAACTCATTTTTTATTATCATTTACTTTATTACATCGTATCCTACTTTGAAATTTATTACGAATAAAATATCGATTTTCGTAAACAAAAAAATCAAAATGTGGTTAGACCGGTCCGAGCACTTTTGTGAACAGATATGTTTGGTGAATTTTGACATTTGTGCTTTGGACACACTGTAGACTAGCTTAGTAAACAGTAGGGACTACATCCGATGAACGTTTAATGCCATGCTCGCTTCGAGACAGCTGATTGTGACATATGCATCCTCTTGACGTTTCGTAGAAATCAACGGAATATTTTTGTCAACAAAAGTGCAGTTTTAGTGAGTAAAATACTGGTTTTCCTCGATGGCAAACCCTTCGCCACTGAATCCACTTCGTCATATTATAGAAAGACAGTACAAGGATAATGTGTTTATTAAAAATAAAATATTCAAGGAACGGTTAGCCAAGGCAAGAAATTTGTACAGAAAAGATCTTTTGGCCCATTATGGGTGTGTTAACGCCATCGAGTTTTCAGTGGAAGGAGACCTTTTGGTTTCAGGTATGTTTTGTTGCTGTTTTATGTACGAACTCGATAGTTGATGGTATTTTTTCATAAATATATACGCGTATGTAAACAGGTTAGCTAACGCGTTTACACACTAGTTTTGCAACTTTGTATGCATTTAAGCTTGATTAGGTATTCGTTCATCATTTTGTTGATCTATGTTGAGGGATAAAAAATCAGAGATTTGAGTGTGTGGAAACTTAATAACAGCTTTTTCAATGAGTGTTGTATAAAAAGTCTTAATCTGTTTTAACATAAACTCAATGATTTGTCTTGTATATTTTGTTATATCTCAATGAATATGTGACGTTTAAACCATGTAAATATAGGTATGTCTTCGTTCCGTTTTATCATCTGTGTTATTTTCACGGAACGACAGTCGACAGTGATTCAATAGCAATACGAATTTTCAGATGTTCTTAAAGAGATTAACACTATTTTTTTCGTACTAATAAGGTTGTGGTAGGAAATATATTCTCAGTTATTTGATATTCACGTCAAAAATTAATGCAATTATTTTGAATAATAGTTTATTTCAATGCTGTACTTATACATTAAAATTCAATTTTAATCGCAAGTCCGAGAACATAACCTACCTGTAGCTTTTGAACATATGACTGCGAAACAGTGGGTGTACTAAAATATGAATGCAAGTGCTGAAATTTCGTTTTTTCCAGTTCATTCCAGGAGTTCTTGGAAAATATTGTCAAATTTTGAATTTTGTTGAAAATTTTTGCACAAAAAAGTGTACCCAGATATGACTTTTTTTAAATTATAATAAAGTTTTCAATTCTGAATTTTGTGGTATATAGTAGTCATATCACATGTACATTAAAAACATTGTTCGAAGATTACTTCGACAGAACTTCCCTCGCCCATAACGTACGGCTTGCCAAATCCAGCTCTTTCGAAAAATTAAAGATTTGATTTTGAGAATTTTATTGTTTTTTTTTTGTGGCAACCATTATAAGCTAAAATAAAAATGTGTATCTAATGTCTGAGTAAAGACACAAGTGAGTTTTTCTATCACAAAAAGTCAAATAACGGTAACACTTATCAATCTGTAGACGTGAGAGTGAAACAGAAACTAAACTAAAATTGCAATAACCGGATCACACGGTCCAGACTTTTTTATTGCTCTGACTTCCCCTTATTGAATAAAACACTACATTTTATTTTGATTTTCGATGTTTTAATTCACATTTGGCTAATTATAACTTGACTAGATCTAGGAGAGGCTCAGCATCATTGATCAATACAAAATATCAATGCAATGATTGAAGTGACGTCATCACATTATTGGTGGGGATGATTAGACAAATTTTGGTTGGCGTTTTACCATCTACATGATATTCCTAATACAAATACAAAATATTGTGTATCCATTTTCATTAGATATTATTCTCCGAAACTACTGGACCGATTGTAGTAAACTGTTGCTTGTATATTAGAAATACCATGTAGATGATTAAATACTAACCAAGATTTTTCTAATCATCCCTATAACAACGTGATGACGTCCCCTCAAAATTTTTGATAATAGATTTTTTTCCATTTGTTTTGTTTTGTCTGCTATGTTGGCAAGTTAATTACGTACCGACAGCTGTCACGTTACAGTATTAATAAAAATGCATTAAACACGTTTTTGTCGATATTTTTTCATGAATACTTCGAGTGGGATCAATATTGTATCGTTGTAAAGGTGTCACGATCGAGGCGGCCTTTTATTTAATTATTATTAATTTATTAATGTTATTACACTTTCACAAACACTGATTAGATATACACTAACAGACAGAAAAAAAAAATTATTGGATATGTTGTAGGTAATTTTGTTTGATCTTGTTGTTGTAGTATTTAAAAAAAATCTTTAATCTCCACTGCAATAGATAAAAAGTAAGGTAAATGTTGATAAGGGTTTAAACTACCTTAAGAGACCGTATGTAGACAGCCTTTTTGAAGTTTATTCGTTTTTGAAAAATTAATTAAATTATCGCATTTAAGACTTTATTTATTTTGCAGTAATTTTCCTCACCACCTCCCAATAATTCCATAAAGTGTCTTTTCCATTCATGTATTTTGATTTTCCTACTGACTTCAGTCTTCCTTCTCCATTCCTTGTTCATATATCACCATACTTCTTCTTCTGTTTTCAGGGACTTTATTGTCTTCTCTTCTTTTCGTTTTTCTCTTTTTCTTTCTTCACACTTTTTCCTATAATTCTCTCTTGCTTTTAAGTACTTTTCTTTCCTTCCCCTGTTATTCTTCCATTTTCTTCATTTTTCTCGTGCTTTTCTCTTCAAATCACTACATTTTCCGTTCCATCCATTATTCCTCCCTTGCCATATGTATATCTTTCTTTTTTTCGTAGCTTCTACAATTAAGTCGATCAGTTCTGCTATCGTAGCTTCTGTATCTTCTTTTACTTCGAATTTCTTTTTTTCTAATCTACTTCTATGTCTTTGAAGTCCCTCTTCATCCCATATTCTTTTTTCTATTTCTTTTCTTTCGTTTCTTCGATCTTGTTTTTCGTACTCTTGCTCTTTTCCTTTGATTTTTATTTCTAGTGGCATGTGGTCTGATTCTACCATTTCCCCCACTTTGAAACTTTCTATTTCTTCCCACGCCTAATCGTTGACGGTGCCATAGTCTATAACTGATTCTCTCCTAGCCCCTACTTAAGTCCATTTTCCTTCTTCATCCCCTTCCTTGTTTCCATTCAAAATTTCCCATCCCATTTCTTCTATTATCTTCCACAATATTTTCCCCTCTTTGTTATTTACTTTGTCTTTTGATCCTTTTCTCTCTCTCTCTCTGTTCTTTATCTATTATTCTTGTTCCCTTATCGCCCAGTCTTGCGTTAAAATCCCCTCCTATGAGTATTTTTTCATCTCCTTTTTCTTTTGTTTCCTTTTCTATGTTTATCTTGGTTTCCCCCATTTTCTTGCTATAAACGATTATTACTTTCTTCATTAGTCCTTTTTTATTATTCCGTTTTCCAATTCTTGCATTTCTTTTCGAATTCCCATTACTATTCCCCCACTTGTTCTCCCCTTTTTCTTTTCTTTTGTCGCCCCTTGACACTCCCACAAATAATAATAATTGTCAATTTATTTTATTGAATAAATCAAGAATTGCAAAACTGAATGCTTTGAAATCTTGCAGCGTTTCAAAGTCATTGTAAGCATGGTAAATTGTTAGTCAAAGTAAATCTGTTTATTCCCCCCCAAAAAATTGATGACGTTATCTCAAAATGTTGCCGAATAAATTCTACCCAAAATGTGCAAAATATTATAATTTAATATGAATTATAATAATGATATTCAGAACATTTTGTCGATTGTATCTTACTATTTAATAGTTTTGATTCTCTGTTTTGAGGGGACGAACTCATTCAAATCAAAATAATTTCTGCGTGACATTCTTCCGGTGTATAAACATAAACACTTTAAATTTGTTTTTCTTATCGAGGATAACCGTATACGTACAGTAATGGAGTCCGTCGGACAAGTTGATACTTTCATATTTTTTCGATATTTCATAAACCCTAAACAAGGTCGTAGTTAGGGGGAGGCTAGGGGATGCTGAGCCTCTCCTAGATCTGGACAAGTTATATAATTAACCAAAAGTGAATTACTACATCGAAAATCAAAATAAAATGTAGTGTTTTACTCAATAAACGGAAGTCAGAGCAATAAAAAAGTCTGGATCGTCGGCATTGTGATCCGGTTATTGCAATTCGTAGAAAACATGTTTTAGTTTAGTTTCTGTTTCACTGTCACGTCTACAGGTTGATAAGTATTATCACTATTTGCCTAAAACATTACAAGTACCATAAATGATTTTCAGTTCGGTCTTCAGTCGCACGTTTGTTATTACATACGGCAGGTGTGATTAAATTGTTTTGTTATTTTTTTATTATTTTTTTATTGATTATAAATCACTATTCAGAAATAACAATAATACAATATTTTTATTATTAGTATTACAATGCATCTATTCAATCTGATATATGCGTCCTTGTTTAGATTTGCTTATACGGGTGTCTCAAAAAAATGACTGAGTCAGTTTATTTTATTGATTAAATCAAGAATTGCAAAACTGAATACTTTGAAATCTTGCAGAAGTTATTAAGCACGGTAACTTTTAATCAAAACGTTTCTGTTTATCAACCCCAAAAAATTAATTGCGTTAATTCAAAATTTTCCCGAATTCTTGGATAATTTAGATTTTTAGATTTTTCAATTTTTTTAAATTTAGACTCCACAATTTTTCAATTTTTTTGTTTCCATTTTTCACTTTTTAGTTTCTCGATTTCCAGTTTTCGATTACTCAATTTTACAACATTTCAGTTTTTCGATTAAATTTTTGGATTTTTTTCCATTCTTCACTTCTTCGATTCTTGAATTTTTCTTCGATTTTTCAATTTTTCGATATTTTAGTTTTGTGGTTTTTCAATATTTTGATCGTCAATTTTTTGATTTTTCGATTTTTCGATTTTTTATTATTTAGATTTTTCTTTTTTTTTTTTATTTAGGTTCTTCAATTTTTCGTTTTCTCGATGTTTCGATTCCTCGATTTTTCAATTTTTCGGTATTTTAGTTTTGTGATTCTTCACTTTTTCGATTTTTCGAATTCTCAATTTTTCGGTGGTTCGATTTCTCGTTTCTTCAATTTTTGTTCGTTTTTTCAAGTTTTCGATATTTTAGTTTTGTGATTTTTCAATATTTTGATTCGTCAGTTTTTTGATTTTTCGATTTATCGATTTTTTATTATTTAGGTTTTTCTTTTTTTTATTTAGGTTTTTCAATTTTTTGTTTTTTCGATGTTTCGATTCCTCGATTTTTCAATTTTTCGATATTTTAATTTTGTGATTTTTCAGTATTTTGGTTCGTCAGTTTTCCGATTTTTCAGTTTCTCGATTTCCAGTTATTCGATTACTCAATTTTACAATATTTCAGTTTTTCAATTAAATTTTTGGGTTTTTAAATTTT